AGGAGGAGGAGGAGGAGGAGAAGAAGAAGAAGAAGAAGAAGAAGAAGAAGAAGAAGAAGAAGAAGAAGAAGAAAGAAGAAGAAGAAGAAGAAGAAGAAAGAATGAAAGTGATCAGAAAGAGCTTGTGGAAGGATTCACTATTTGAAATTGCTTCAATTGCATTTGCTTCTATATCAACATAAATAACCTGACTATTTTGATAGGTTTTTTTTATTACATTACCAATTACGCACTGCCTAATGTAACATTATTTAATACATCTACAGCTTCCCATTGTAGTTGTCTCCTCCCCCACCACACAGGCTCTCCACCTCATTTATTCGGTATTTAATTACCTGAATAATGGAAGTGTGGCATACCATAAAAGTCCCATCCAAACCATTTTTTAAAAATAATAATAATAATAATGATAAAGTTGGAAGGGACCTCGGAGGTCATCTAGTCCAACCTCCTGCTCAGGCAGGAAACCCTATACCATTTCGGACAAATGGCTGTCCAGTTTCTTCTTTAAAATTTCCAGTGTTGGCGCATTCACCGCTTCTGGAGGCAGGTTGTTCCACTGGTTAATTGTTCTGACTGTCAGGAAGTTTCTCCTTAGTTCTAGGTAAATAGTGGACAAAATAAGGAGTGCACTGATGATGTTACCTAGTTAGGTCATCAAACGTCCACAAGAGACCACAAAGGAGCCCACGGTTCACAGATATTTTCTTCCATTGATTGGGAGACAGTTCTGTACTGTTCTGTCTGATTCAGTAGCTCACAAGCTGGACCAATTCAGCCTCTTTTAAACCTATGGCAAGATTCCCAGACACAGACCTGGGATCACTTCCTCGTCCCCGTCATCTCATAAAATTAGAAACCCAAACTGGAGCAGGCCAGCTCTCTGGGTTACACAACCAGGAAGTGGTCAGAAAACTGTCATCCCTCTGTAATCAAGGGTTTCTTCTCTGGGACAAGCCTTTTGGGAAGGACACCAGCAGTGATTTTAGTTGTGGTTTATCTGATGTGGCCACCTGTCCACTAGGAACTCAGCATGAGAACACAATGTCCTAATCTTGGGCAATCTTTACAAAATGCTTAAGGATCAAGCTCTACCACACGGGGGAAAGCAAGAGTTGGATCTTCTGCCTGGTTTGTTTGTGTAAATACATCTGTCTGGGCTCCAGATGTGGTTAGATCAGTGCCATGATACTCTGCGCTTGAACAGTAGATCTCTGAAAAAACTATTAAAATGGGGTTCCCAGTTACGCAGGTAAAGCTGGTCTTGGAATCGGGCAAAGAGATTCTCTACCGGACTTCTGGCTAAATGTGTAGAGGTCAGAAGAAGCGAGGGTCAATTCAGGGTGGCACCCATTATCTACCCACTTTAAACAAGCTGAAGTTCACATTTGGCCAAAACAGGACAATTTTAAAGCCAATTAAAGAAATCCATAGAGGATAAGCCGTTCCTAGTTTCTAGGCATGATGGGTAATCATTTGCTCATCCGTTTTCTTTGAGACAATCATTTGCTAAATATATGAAACCGCACACTTGAGGAGAGTTCTTGAAACAGGAAAAGCTCTATCAAACACTGTTTTGAAGGACACTTTGCTAATTATCGTCTAAGCATGCACAATGCCAGTTTTGCTTCTTTAGGACAGGTCTGAGAACTTTTCTCCTGTGTCCCAAAGATGGTTTTCAAAAGACAACTGGACTTCCTTGTGTGTGTGTGTTCTTTTAACTTCTCATCCAAGAAGCTTCTTCGGTTCTGGCTGAATGGTGAGGAATGGAAGGAAATAGAAATAGGAATAGGAATAGGAATAGGAATAGAATAGAATATTGAAAAATAGAACAGAATAGAATAGATTAGAATAGAATGCAGAATAGATTGCAGAATAGAATAGAATAGAATAGAATAGAATAGAATAGAATAGAATAGAATAGAATATTGGAAAGTAGAACAGAACAGAACAGAATAGATTAGATTAGAATAGAATGCAGAATAGAATATAGAATAGAATAGAATAGAATAGAATAGAATAGAATAGAATAGAATAGAATAGAATGCTGAATTCTATTCTATTCTATACTATACTATATTATACTAGAATAGAACAGAGTAGAGTAGAATAGAATAGAATAGAATAGAATAGAATAGAATAGAATAGAATAGAATAGAATAGAATAGAATAGAATATTGGAAAGTAGAGAACAGAACAGAATAGATTAGATTAGAATAGAATGCAGAATAGAACAGAATGCTGAATTCTATTCTATTCTATTCTATTCTATTCTATTCTATACTAGAATAGAACAGAGTAGAATAGAATAGAATGCAAAATAGAATAGAATAGAATAGAAAAGCTCTCAGTGTACATACAAGCAACAAAGTGATAAGTCGTTGATCATGAATCATAAGGTATAATCACAACCATAAGATACAAACAACAAGTGATAAATCATAAGATACCAACAGGAGAAGGTAACAGGAGAGATGAGAAGGCAAGAAAAATTAGAAGATGAGAAAGATGAGAAGATTTATATTTTATTCCTTAGCAGTCATCGGGTCATTAGTTCTCTGAGAGTCATTAAGGCCACTTGGGGGTTTATCTGCATCCTCAGGGTCACCTGGATCAGAGTGCAAATGGCTGCGGAGCCTTCTTTGGGACTGCTGAAAGGACTGTGTTGTAGCCTGGAGATAGTTGATGTCCTGTCCCTCCCTCTCTGTTGAGAGAGGGCTGCTCAGTTTTAACATAGATGGCCTTTTGACCCCTCTTTCAAACCAGCATTCCTCTCTGTCCAGAATGGGGATTTTGCTGTCTTCAAAAGAGTGGCCTTTGTTTTCAGGTACAGATGGACTGCTGAATCTTGTCCTGATGGACACAAGATACTGCCCCCCTCCCCAGTCTCATTTCTGAGCCCAATGTAATAAATTGAACCGACTGTCTCAAAGCCATTAGAGGTTTTTTTTCCACCCTATTAAAAGTTTCGGCATGTCTTAGGATCAATACGGCTTAGCGTTTAAAGCAAGTACACAAAAGCAAACTCTCGGCAATTAAAAAATTGTTCCAAGTGCTCTAACGACAACAGAGACCAAAAAAAAAGGAAAAAACCCAAAGGTACCTCATGTTGTCACCTCGACCATGTAGCCATTAGGAGTTGAGCTTGACCCAAAAGGTCGCCATTTTGTGGTGTTAAGGTAGCTAAACTGAACATGGAAGGGGAAGCAGGTATGGGAACTAACTTGGCAACTTAATTTGGATTTCAAATCTTTGCTCAAACATCGAACTCCTTTGATGGCTCTCCAGTTGAACCATTCCAGAAGGTTGCTTAAGTTTAAGTACAGGTAGTCCTCAACGTACGACTGTTTTTCACACTTACGACCGTTGCAGCATCAAAATTCAGATGCTTGGCAACTGGTTCGCATTTATGACCGTTGTTGTGTCCCAAGGTCACACGATCCCCTTCTGCGACCTTCTGAACAAGCCAAGCCACTTAACAACCGTGTTACTTACTTAACAGCTGCAGTGACTCACTTAACGGTGGCAAGCAAGGTCGTTACATGGGGCAAAACTCACTGAACCCCTGTCTTGCTCAGCAACAGAAATTTTGGGCTCAACTGTGGTCGTAAGTCGAGGACTACCTGTAAACCTCCTGACATTGTGGAACAGCTCGCCTCTAGAAATTGTGGGCGCTCCATCACTGGAGATTTTTAAGAAGAGACTAGACAGTCACCTGTCTGAGATGGTATAAGTTCTTCTGCTTGAGCAGGGGCTGGACTAGAGGACCTCCAAGGTCCCTTCCAGCTCTATTCTATTCTATTCTATTCTATTCTATTCTATAGGCTGCCACAAAGAGGAGGTGATCAAGCTGTTCACCAAAGAACCAGAAGGCAAGACAAGAAACAATAGATGGAAACTAACCAATGAGAGAAGCAACCTCGAAATAAGGAGAAACTTCCTAACAGTGAGGACAATTAACCAGTGGAACAGCTTCCCTCCAGAAATCATGGGCGCTCCATCACTGGAGATTTTTAAAGAAGAGACTAGATTAGACAGTCACTTGTCTGAGATTGTATGGGTCCTCCTGTTTGAGCAGGAGGCTGGACTAGAAGACCTCCAAGGTCCCTTCCAGCTCCTATTCTTTCTATTCTATTCTATTCTATTCTATTCTATTCTATTCTATTCTATTCTATTCTAATTCCATTCCATCCCACATTATTCTATTCTATTCTATTCTATTCTATTCTATTCTATTCTATTCTATTCTATTCTATTCTATTCTATTCTAATTCCATTCCATCCCACATTATTCTATTCTATTCTATTCTATTCTATTCTATTCTATTCTATTCTATTCTATTCTATTCTATTCTAGAGGCTGCGACAAAGAAGAGGGAGTCAAGCTATTCTCCAAAGCACCAGAAGGCAAGACAAGAAACAATGGATGGAAACTAAGCAAGGAGAGAAGCAACCTGGAATTAAGGAGAAACTTCCTAACAGTGAGGACAATTAACCAGTGGAACAGCTTGCCTCCAGAAGTTGTGGGTGCTCCAACACTGGAGGTTTTTAAGAAGAGACTGGACAGCCACTTGTCTGAAATGGTATAGGGTTTCCTGCCTGAGCAGGGGGTTGGACTAGAAGACCTCCAAGGTCCCTTCCAACACTGGCATTCTGTTCTGCTCATGTCTCCACTGTGGTTCCTCCAGCAGCCTCTAGAGTGAACCTCTGCAAACAGGGATGCACAAAACCACTTCAGAGCCTTGCCCAAACAGTCCAGCGACGGAAAGGTGAATACCTGTGGCTCAACCTCTCGAGACTCAAAGCCTAGCTAGCCTGGAGGAGGAGCTGGTCCCTGGGTTTTCAGCCTTGCTGCTTTATCTTCTTGCATTCATCTGCAGCTTCCAGTCAGGAACTGTGTTTCTAATGCAGCTTTTATCAGCTCTCCATAAACTGCCTGAAGCAGGCACTTATTGTTCTCGATCTGCAGGTAGCTGCAGGTTTCCCCTTCCCTTCTTACAGGAGAAAAGAAATGATAAGCTTCAAGTAAGCTCCTGTTGACAACTACAGTATTTACAGATTTTATAATATAACCAATTGATAATGCCTTGGTAAGACCACACTTGGAATACCTCATCCAGTTTTGGTGACCATATTCTAAAAAAAACCCAACAAAATGTTTTGGTGACCAAAACTTCGGAAAGAGTGCAGAGAAGAGCAACAAAGGTGATCAGGGGGCTGAAGGCTAAAACATATGAAGAAGGTTGCAGGAATTGGGTATGTCTAGTTTAATGAAATGAAAAGAAAAGAAGGACTTGAGTGAAATCATAGCAATGCTCTAATATCTGAGGGGCTGCCACAAAGAAGAGGGAGTCAAGCTATTCTCCAAAGCACCCAAAGGCAGGACAAGAAGCAACGGATGGAAACTAACCAAGAAGCAATCTAGAACTAAGGAGAAATGTCCTGACAGTGAGAACAATTAATCAGTGGAACAACCTGCCTCCAGAAACTGTGAATGCTCCAACACTGGAAGTTTTTAAGAAGAGATTGGACAACCATTTGTCTGAAAGGGTATACTTTTTCCTGCCTGAGCAGGGGGTTGGACTAGAAGACCTCCAAGGTCCCTTCCAGCTGTGTATTCTGTATTCAGATGGTGGTGGGTCATTCATATTGTTTGTGATGGGGCATTGTTGAATAGCTCAGGACTGAGGCTGGAACTAATCTCTGAGAAAGAAGTTGTACAAGGGGAAGTAAAGGGCAGCTGCTTAGGCCCTTGGCCGAAGATTTATATGGTTCCCCCCCCCCCGGAGATCTTCAACAATTCTGTAAATCAAAATGAGTTCACACTTGACTTGCGACATTTCGTCATAGGATATGGCTTACCTTCCTTGGCTTCACTTTGTCGTGATAGTCATATTGGAAGATGCCTTTGTAGCTGAGTCCTAACCACCACGGAATTCCCTGCTTATCCTAGAAAGTTGGGGAGAAACAGAATAAATGACTTACTCTTTTACTTTTTTACTATTACTGTTTAACCTAGGACCGAGGAGCAATTTCCTGACAGTGAGAACAATTAATCAGTGGAACCAGTTGTCTTCAGAAGTTGTGGGTGCTCCAACACTGGAGGTTTTAAAGAAGAGATTGGACAGCCCATTTGTCTGAAATGGTATAAGCAGGGGTAGGCAACCTTGGCTCTTTTATGACTCGTGGACTTCAACTCCCAGAATTCCTGAGCCAACATGGGGGAACTATGGCCCCTTCATGACTTCTGGACTTCAACTCCCAGAATTCCTGAGCCAGCCATGCTGAGGGGAAACGGAGAGGTTTCCAAGCTGAGTCATGCTGGCTCAGGAATTCTGGGAGTTGAAGTCCACAAGTCATAAAAGAGCCAAGGTTGCCTACCCCTGGTATAGGGCTTTCTGCCTGAGCAGGGGGTTGGACTAGAAGACCTCCAAGGTCCCTTCCAACTCTTGTTATTCTCTCTCCTATGTTCTACGTATATCTTGGAGTCCAAATGTCATAATCTACTGGAGTGCTCCTTAGCGAAGGTTTAAGCTTGGAAGCATGATTCTTTCCCCCCCTTTTTAAGATTAATTATTGTACAGAGAACCTGAATGTTATCTCTGTCAACATGAGGGTCTATAAGGGAGGGATCAAAACAGTAAAAATGGTGTCTAGGCTGTGTGGTGGAAGCTCCTCCCCCTGTCCAACAAGCATTGCATGTAAGACACATGTAAAAAGGGGCAGGATTTTGATTGCATGGGTTACAGCTGCCATCTGGACTTTTATGATCCTTCCCCCTGCTATCCCTGAACAGAACTGAACAGAAACGTTAAAAGGTGCACAAAAAGAAAAGTTTCATCCTTATAGATTTTTTTTATAAACGGAAACCAATTTTGAGTAAACGTTTGCGAACGATGTTTTTCGACTTTGTCCATTTTAAGCTGCGTGGATTTCAACTCCTAGAACTTCAAAACTGGATTGTAAGTAGTGTGCTGGACCAGTATGTAACTCTGGCCAGAGCATACATTTAGCTTAGGAATTAAGAACTGTGTTAGAGCATTTAGCATTTAACGGGTTAAACACTGTTTCCTTAAGAGATGGCCTTTGGGAAATGTAGTCTAGTTGTTAGTCAGTCCTATATCTTATCTAGTCAGTGGGAGGGGCTTCAAAGTTTATTACAGGATGTCCTGGCTATGTGCCAGGGTTGTAAAAGCCTTTATTTAATCAAGCATCATGCACGCATCGATTGGCATCCGTATCCATGCCTAGCTGAGATGGGGAATTATTCCCTTTTTACCTACGAGAATGGACAGATGTGAATATGACTGGATGTATCTACTGTAAAGTAAGTCTCTGCTTAGAATTCCTGGACAATAAATATTTGTTTAAAACCATTTTCGTGGAGTTTATGCTATCTGGATCAGAACTATAATGCATCTCAGTTCACGGTTCCAGAATAAGTAGCTTTGGGAAGGTCCTCCGTCGTACCTTTGGCCAGTTACTAAGCAATCAGTCGTAAATCAAGGACTAGCAACAGCCCGTAGACTTTTATACCGCTTCACAGTGTTTTGCAGCCCTCTCTAAGTAGTTTACAGAGTCAGCATCTTTCACCCAACAATCTGAGTCCTCATTTTACCGACCTCGGAAGGACAGAAGGCTGAGTCAACCTTGAGCCTTGAGTCAACCTTGATCGAACTGCTGGCAATGAGCAGTGAGTTAGCCCGCAATATTGCCTTCTAACCACTGCGCCACCATGACTACCTACAGTAGCTTACAGTGGGATTGGGGTAATGACTATTTTTCCCATGGTGTTTCGAAGTCAGCATGTCTGAAGACAATCCTGTGCCATCTACATGCTACTTTTGAGAGCCCATAAAACATGGCTGCATGGCAATGCTATCTTACTTAGCTGTAAATGTTAAGTTTATTTAATGCAGTGTTTCTCAACCTTCACAATTTTAAGGCATGTGGACTTCAACTCCCAGAATTCCACAGCCAGCAATGCTGGCTGTGGAATTCTGGGAGTTGAAGTCCACATGCCTTAAAATTGTCAAGGTTGAGAAACACTGCTTTAATGGCTGTGTTGTTGGAATGAATAGTGCAAGAAACCAACCGTTTTACACTGCCATTCAAATACCTAAGACCATCAAAACTAAGATACGATACAGTTAAGTTCTCATCAACAGTAATGAACAGTAACGCTCTTGTGCATTTCAGGTATCTGATTTTTCAGTTTGATCTACTTCCCTATGAAATCATGAAGGCCACTTATTTATCTTAACCCAGGGGTAGGCAACCTTGGCTCTTTTATGACTCGTGGACTTCAACTCCCAGAATTCCTGAGCCTGCATGGCTCAGCTTAGAAACTCTCCCTTTCCCCTCAGCATGGCTGGCTCAGGAATTATGGGAGTCCACGAGTCATAAAAGAGCCAAGGTTGCCTACCCCTGTCTTAACCCAAAACAGTCAGACTGTTCAGAATGGAATCACATGTAAGTACAGAATAATGATTTCAATTGTCCTTGCTCAGGGTCAACCCATTAACGAATTAAATTATTTTTTTCAGAGCGCACCCACCTTGACTGCATAATAATGTACTCCATAGGTTGGGAGGGACTCTACAATGCTCATATAACTAGGAAAAAAAACATAAGAAAAATGAGATCAAAGACGCAAACAGCACGGGAGTTATGCAAAACAGCATACTGACACCTGGGCAGTCTTTTGAGACCCAACTTTGAAACCCAACCTTGCATCTTTTAAACTCTCCCAAAATTTGAATTCATGTCACTTAAACATCATAATGCTTTCCTTATATAATCCAACGCCGTGCACTCTACATGGGGCCACCCTTGGAGAGTATCCGAAAGCTTCAATGGGGGCAGAACGCAGATGTGTGGGCAGTTTCAGGAGTCCCTGGTGTGTGATCCATGTCACACCACTGCTGTGTGAGCTGTTATTGGTGGCCAGCTTGCTTCTGGGTCCAATACAAGGTGTTGGTTATTACCTACAACAAAGGTCCCCAACTCTTTGGGCACCGGGGACTGGTTTCGTGGAGAAAGGTTTTTTCCACGGACTGGAAAGTGCATGATTTTGTGTGTTGCCTGCATCCCATGGATGGGGCTTTGCTTGTTTGTGTAGACTGGTTGCTGGCATACCACGGACCGGTACTGGTCCACGGACCGGGGGTTGGGGACCCTTGAACTACAAAGCCTCTTATGACATGGATCCAAGCTACCTGAGGAATTGTCTCACCCCAGTGGGATTGTCCACCCCACTCTTTCTGGCAGAAGGGGCTGCTGTGAACCCCGTCGGCCAAGGAATATTAGGACGGTACAAAATAACTTTCCATGAGCAACCTAAGGTGGAAAAACTCAATGTTAAATAAAAAACAAAGCGTTAATTTAACTGAAGGTTGCAGGTGATTTTGGCTAATGAAGCACCCTGCCCAGGAATGCGGACACACAAATAATTTCACAAGCAGAGACATCAGCTTCTGCAAATGACCCAAAAGGTGCTTTTTCTTGAGGCAACTGGACTTTCTTGTTTTTCTTTGAAGACATTTCGCTCCTCATCCAAGAAGCTTCATTTCCCACCGTCCAGCCAGAGCTGAAGAAGCTTCTTGGATGAGAAGCGAAACGTCTTCAAAGAAAAAACAAGAAAGTCCAGGTGCCTCCTGAAAAAAAAAAGGACTTTTGGGACAACCGTGACCTGGATGACTGAGAATCTCCAGAGACTTCTGCAAGGGCAAGCGTTGAAAAATAGGTTAGGCCAGGGGTAGGCAACCTTAGCTCTTTTATGACTCGTGGACTTCAACTCCCAGAATGCCTGAGCCAGCATGGCTCAGCTTGGAAACCTCTCCCTTTCCCCTCAGCATGGCTGGCTCAGGAATTCTGGGAGTTGAAGTCCACGAGTCATAAAAGAGCCAAGGTTGCCTACCTCTGGGTTAGGCTTATACTCTATGATATAGGGCAGGGGTATACAACTTATACTCTATGATATAGGGCAGGGGTAGGCAACCATGGCTCTTTTATGACTCGTGGACTTCAACTCCCAGAATTCCTGAGCCAGCACGGCTCAGCTTGGAAACCCTCTCCCTTTCCCCTCAGCATGGCTGGCTCAGGAATTCTGGGAGTTGAAGTCCACGAGTCATAAAGCAGCCTAGGCCTAGGCCAGAGGTAGGTAACCTTGGCTCTTTTATGACTCGTGGACTTCAACTCCCAGAATTCCTGAGCCAGCACGGCTCAGCTTGGAAACTCTCCCTTTCCCCTCAGAATGACTGGCTCAGGAATTCTGGGAGTTGAAGTCCACGAGTCATAAAAGAGCCAAGGCTGCCTACCCCTGAAATTATAGGGGCTTCAGTCTGATGTTGGGACATAAATGTGAATGGCTAGAGCAGTGCTTTATTGTTTTTATCGTCTTAGCTTGTAGTTGATAACATAAGATCAGGGCCTCGGAGGTTTTGGCGGGGGGCAGGCTGGTTCTTTGCAAACTTCAATAAAGGAAGCGAGACCCCCAATTCTTCCCTTCATATCTTTTTTTTACTGGCCTAATTATTTTGGCCCACCTCATCCAGAGGAAGTAAAATACAGAGAGTCCTTGACTTACAATAGTTCATTTAGTGACCGTTCAAAGTTACAACGGCACTGAAAAAAGTGTCTTAGCATTTTCCACGCTTACAGCCATTGCAGCATTTCCACGGTCACATGATCAAAATTCAAATGCTTGGCAACTGACTCATATTTATGACGGTTTGCACTGTCCCGCAGTCATATTATCTCTTTTTGCGACCCTCTGACAAGCAAAGTCAGTGGGGGAAGCCAGATTCACTTAACAACCATGTTACTAACTTATCAACTGCAGTGATTCACTTAACAACTGTGGCAGGAAAAGTCGTAAAATGGGGCAGAATTCACTTAAAAAAATGTTTCACTTAGCAACAGAAATTTTGGGCTCAATTGTGGTCGCAAGTCGAGGACTACCTGCATGGAAAATGAAAGAGACTGAAGAAAAAAAAAACACCAACCCTTAAAGCAGATTTGAAGTCGTTTCTGCCTTCATGGAATTCTTTCTACAAGCTATGATGAACCTATAATTGTATACTGCTGCAAAGAGTTAAATTTTAGCAAACAAATTAAGTGCTTGTGCATCACACAAGGGATATACACTTTGGGATATAACCCATATCCACCTGGAAACCTGACTTGGACCTAAAAAATCTGGAATGCCAGCTTTTAAGAGGGTCATATTTTAAGAGGGTCTCCATTGTTACTGATATTCATTTTAAGGAAGAAGCACAGTTTGCTGGATCCTACTTTGGACATCGCTGCTTTGAAGCCAAATAATGTTATGAAAGAGACTGAGGTCACAACGAGATTTCGAATGCACACTGGCCAAAATGTTCTGTGTCTAGAATTCCTGTTTTTGACTTACTTGACGATAGCTTGGCCTCTTGTCTGTCCATTCAGCTTCTTGTAATGCTCAATCACTCGATCCTCACTTGGAAAAAGAGAAACAGGAATTAATTTAGCAGGCAGAGTTGAAAAAGTATGATGGCGTTCCAGAGTAGGAGAACCATCTCCTCAGTGATCAAGTCAATAAATCTCAAAGATCTCTGTATAGATCAGGGCTTTTCAACCAGTGGTACGGGTAACACCTGTGGTACATTGGCACCTGGCAGGTGGTACGCGACCATCCTAAAAAAGTGGTAGCGGCCTGAGCGAGAGACGGCTGGAGCTGCAGGGCTGTCAGGGCTCAGCAGAAGCGCCAGGATCAGTGCCGCTTTCCAGCTGATCGGCGCTTCTTCAGGGCTGTCAGGGCTCAGTGGAAGCGCCAGGATCAGCACCAGGCTCCAGCTGGAGCTCGGCACTGATCCTGGCGCTTCCGCTGAGCCCTGAAGAAGCACCAATCAGCTGGAAAGCAGCACTGATCCTGACGCTTCTGCTGAGCCCAGAAGAAGCACCGATCAGCTGGAACGTTGCAGCCTCTCCAGGGTCTTGTGATTTACATTCAGATGCTTGGCAACTGATTCATATTTATGACGGTCACAGTGTCCCAGGGTCATGTGAAGTGACCAAAACCTGCTGCAACCACCCAGCAGACGGGGGGAATAAAAACCAAACACCCCCCACCCCACCCCCACTGCCAATCCTCAACAGAAATGCTCACAACAATGAAAACCTCGGACAGGAGGAAGAGCGCCGCCGGGCGGGCAGGCAGGTGTCTTGCTTGGCTGTGGCTTGGGGGGCACTTTTTTCAGTGCCACTGTAACTTCGAACAATCACTAAGTGAACTGTTATAAGTCGAGGACTACCTGTACTTTATCACTTTTTTCCTTTTTTTGGGGTCATCAAGTTTTTGACACCTTGCTAGGTGACTGGTGGTACTCGGATGTTGCCATATCCTAAATGTGGTACAATGGGTGAAAAGGTTGAAAAGCCCTGGTATAGATAACAAAATGGAAAGCAGGGGAAACAACGCTAGCTGTCCTAGAATATATTCTTCCATTAAAAAAGGGCTTTCCTTTTATAAAACAAAAACATTAGCTACAGGGAAGTAGAAATTGAGGAGGAGGTGAGCTCCAGGTCAGGTAATACTTGAAAAGGTTTGAAGTTTACTTTGCATTTTCTCCTATGCCACTCCCTTGCCAAAAAAAGGTGAGGAAGCACCATGTACTATTAAGTTAAGAAAAAGATCCTCGTACCGCGTAAGTCTTATGGATCATACCAAGTATCTTAGCGTGAGCACGGTTATGTAATTGAATATAAATAGGATGCTGTTGGTTCGCTTTTTTTGTGACTGGGAAAGGCCCCAGATACAATTCAGATTTACACAAAGACGGCTCACACAGAAGAATAAACTGGGAGCCGTATTGTAAATCTTCAGTTCAAGGACTGGATACTCTCATCCGTGATGACGGATAGAAATCGGGTTCAAGCAAGCAAACTCTAAGCAGGTTCCAGAATTGTTGTTATTTTCTGCTATTTTCCTGCTCTTCACTGTCAACTCTATGCTAATCCCTTTCTGTTCACTGCCCATTTCCAATGTTCCCATATTCTTGCTCTTCTCTGCTTTTTTCCCATTCCTTTCAGGTTATCCACTGGCTTTATCTGTACTCAGCATTGTGCCTTTCCTTTCCTTTCCTTTCCTTTCCCTCCTTCTCTCGTAGTTTTTGTCATTTACAGCTGCATTCCCTTTCCTTCCCTTCCCCTTCTTCCTTTTCTTTTCTTTCCTTCCCCCTTTTCCTTTCCTTTCCTATCTTTTCCTTTCCTTCCCTTCCTCTTCTTCCTTTCCTTCCTTCCCTCCCCCTCCCTTCCCTTCCTCTTCTTCCTTTCCTTTCCTTTCCTTTCCTTCCTCTTCTTCCTTTCCTTCCCTCCCCCTTCTTCCTTTCCTTTCCTCCCCCTCCTTCCTTCCCCTTCTTCCTTTCCTTTCCTTTCCTTCAGCTTCCTTTCCTTTTCTTCCCTTCCCCTTCTTCCTTCCCTTCCCTCCCCCTCCCTTCCCTTCCTCTTCTTCCTTTCCTTCCTCTTCTTCCTTTCCTTCCCTCCCCTTCTTCCTTTTCTTTTCTTTCCTTCCCCTTTTTCTTTTCCTTTCCTTTCCTATCTTTTCCTTCCCTTCCCTTCCCTTCCTCTTCTTCCTTCCCTTCCCTTCCCTTCCTCTTCTTCCTTTCCTTTCCTTCCCCTTCTTCCTTTCCTTTCCTTCCCCTTCCTTTCCTTCCCTTCCCTTCCCCTTCTTCCTTTCCTTTCCTTCCCTTCCCCTTCTTCCTTTCCTTTCCTTCCCTTCCCTTCCCCTTCTTCCTTCCCTTCCCTTCCCTTCCCCTTCTTCCTTCCCTTCCCTTCCCCTTCTTCCTTTCCTTCCCTTCCCCTTCTTCCTTTCCTTTCCTTCCCCTTCCTTTCCTTCCCTTCCCTTCCCCTTCTTCCTTTCCTTCCCTTCCCTTCCCCTTCTTCCTTCCCTTTCCTTCCCTTCCCCTTCTTCCTTTCCTTTCCTATCTTTTCCTCTCCCTTTCCTTTCCTATCCTATCCTTCCCCTTCTTTTCTCCCTCCCTCCCTCCCTCCCTCCCTTCCCCATTCCCATTCCCTTTCTCTTCCCTCCCTCCCTCCCTCCCTGCGCATTTCAGCCCCTTGTGAGAATGAAGGTGTGAGCACATTTGAATGCATTTTCATCGGTCCTGGATTGCAGAGACCCGGATGAAATCCCACTTGATCAAGGAGATCACTGAGCGACTACGGATCCGCCACTCTTTTCCAGCTGCTTCAGAGCACAATTGTGGGAATAATGTTGGGGAGGATTCCATCCTCTAGAGTTGTGTTTCTAAACCTTGGCAACCTGAAGATTTGTGGCTGTGGCTAGGGAATTCTGGGAGTCAGAGTCCATACCAAGGTTGAGAAAAAAAAATGGTTCTACAAGTTGCCTTGAGCTTTCAGAGAAAAGAGGGGGAGAAATGCATCAAGAATAGGAAGGTAGGAAAGAATAGGAGCCCTGTTAAGTCAGAAGCTATTGTAGACTCTGAGAACTTTCCCAAGGACCGTCCTGGAATTTCACAGAGTAAACAAAGAGAACTTTCTCCAGACTTTTGTCCCGGGCGCAGTTTTGCCGAGAAAGGGGTCAGCCAGTTCCAACGAGTGGGTGGCCAGAGAGAGAATACTGTAAATAAAAGATCACCCAGCCACAAAATGAAAATCACATTCCCTTGCTGTCATCAAATTACAACGCTGGGGAAGTTAAAGGGGAAGCAGATAAGATGGCTGGAAGCCAAGAGCCTTCAAAAAAAAAAGAGAGAGAGAGAGAAAGGCATGAAAGACTCAGGCGAACCGTGGAAAGCAAAAATGTCTCTCTCTCCGCTTCCTGAGCAGATTCATATTTGGGCTGATGAAAGAGGCGGTTGAGAGGCATTTCCTTAGGACTCCCCATTCATTTTAAATTCTCTTCGAATGGGCCAGTGGATTTAATGCTCAGCCCTAGCAGGAGGAGGAAAGGGGGAAAGCCCGGAGATTATTCATAGGGCAGAGCATTTGCAAAAACTCCACATCAACCTCCCGGCTTCTTGTCCAGCTGGAGAACGTGGGTAGTATGTGCACAATGCCCAGCGGGCAAGGGGGTAGAACGGCTCTCGCTCTGGTTACAGACATAGGATGAAGCAATATGACAGGGGGGACAGGATAGCAGTGTTCCAGTATCTCAGGGGCTGCCACAAAGAAGAGGCAGTCAAGCTATTCTCCAAAGCGCCTGAAGGCAGGACAAGAAGCAACGGATGGAAATCTATTCTATTCTATTCTATTCTATTCTATTCTATTCTATTCTATTCTATTCTATTCAACCGTCCTATTCTATTCTATTCTATTCTATTCTATTCTATTCAACAGTCCTATTCTATTCTATTTTATTCTATTCAACAGTCCTATTCTATTCTATTCTATTTTATTCTATTCAACAGTCCTATTCTATTCTATTCTATTCTATTCTATTCTATTCTAGTCCTATTCTATTCAAGTCCTATTCTATTCTATTCTATTCTATTCTATTCTATTCTATTCTATTCTATTCTATTCTATTCCATTCTTTCCAATAGCTATTCTATTCTATTCTATTCTATACTATTCTATTCTATTCTATTCCATTCTTTCCAATAGCTATTCTATTCTATTCTATTCTATTCTATTCTATTCTATTCTATTCTATTCTATTCTATTCTATTCTATTCTATTCTTTCCAATATCCTATCCTATCCTATCCTATCCTACTCTACTCTTATCCTATCATACTCCTATTCTATTCTATTCTATTCTATTCTATTCTATTCTATTCTATTCTATTCTATTCTATTCCATTCCATTCCATTCCATTCCATTCTCGTTAAAAGCCACTTGGTGAATAATCTGGGAAAGGTAAAAGGCCCTTCAAACTCATCTGTTTTGTAGTGGGTTGTAACGGCGGGTTTTAACTGTTCATTTTAATTATGAACCATACGCCTTTGTTTTAATTGCTATGGTAAGTGAAGGGTTGACGTCGAAGCTGCTTTTGTCGAATGCCGCAGAGACAAATTTCGTACCAATCTCAGTCAATTAACAAACCCTTGTCTCATAAGGCAAATCGATTTTTCAGAGAAACCACCATCAGTGCGGGTGTTCAGTAGAGAAAGTCAGAGGGCAGATCTTATTAAAGATAAAGTCAAATATTTACCAATAAGCCAGAGATGGGTGCTCCTTAAGGGCTTGAGTGGGAAGCGCCGGCAACTTCTTCAAGTCCGTCCTTACAGTTTCATTGCTGAAAAAGAGAAGGGGGAAGGGGGGGGGGGGAAGAGAAAGAAATCCAATTTTTAAGCACGTTAACCGAGAGGTAAGACTGACAGTCTCGAACTCGATTCTTGCATAATGAAACACTGTAGAGCAGGGGTGTCAAACTCAATTTCATTGAGGGCCGCATCAGCATTGCGGTTGCCCTCAGGGGGCTGGGTGGGTGCGGCCTACTGGGTGGGCGTGGATGGAGTGGGTGTGGCCTATTGGGTGGGCGTGGCCAGCTCTACATCATTCGCGTTAAGAGTGCCTGTGGGGGCCTGGGCAGGAGTGGGACAGATCTGAGGGTCTCTGGCAGAACGGGGTGGGACCAGGGCAAGTGCCAAGGCATGGTCCACTGGAGGAGCCTCACTGTTCCTCTCAGGCCATGCGGGGGGGGGGCTGGATGGTGGTGCAGGCTGCCCGGAGCTCTGGGCAGCAGAGGTCAAATGCCCAGCCTGGCCCTTGAGCACCCGTGGCACCAAGCCCAGCCCCACTTCCTCAAGGTTGCTGCTCAAGGTTCTTCTGGTTCCTCGCTGTTTCCAGACAGCCTTGTGGAGCTAAGACTGAATGCGTTTCAGCATAGATGGCCACCACAAAATTGCACATTGGCTCCCGGCTGGCCTGGGCTAGGGCCAAGGCAGCGGGGGCCGTTCCCTCAGTGTTTCCAGAATGGCTTCGCGGGCCACATGAAACCACTTCGCGGGCTGCATCCGGCCCCCGGGCCTTGTCTTTGACATGTCTGCTGTAGAGTGATCCCTTCAACATTTCTTTATTTTGCATTAGGGAATCAGGGACCTTTGGCCCCCAGCATCACCTCCATCTGAACAAAGCTACTCCAGATATGGCTTCCTCCATTTCATTTGGATTTCTGAAGATTGTCACAACATCACTGTGTTTCAATAGCAGGAACAGTGTGCACAAACATGGGAGAATACTTTTGCGATTCTCACATGATTCTCCTTCGGTGGCCGAAGGGCGGCAAAAGTTGATGGGAGTTTGCAGAGATGGCTAAATGAACTGCTTCGATTAAAGAAAAGGACACAATTAATTTTGTTTCTACTTGGAAACCGATTCTGGACTTTGTGCTTGAGGTGGACAAAAAAAATATGAAACTTTGATTTTGCGTTTTGCTGATTAGATAGGTTTGTAGTTTATATTACTATGCAAAAGTAAAAAAAACGAGGGCGTGTGTTGTTACGGTACCTTATTTTACTGCGCCAAAAAAAGTCAATGCTTTTCTTTTTTCCCTTTCCCCTACATTTTTTCCTGATTCCCCCTTTCCTCCCCTATTTTCCCATTATTTTCCTCTTTTCTTCGTATTTCTGCATTTTGTATTTGGGAAAACAAATTAAAAAAAATGAATTCAAAACCTTGTTGCGTTTTCAAAGCGGGCGATCCGGTGCGGAAAGCCACATGTGCAGGAAGGAAAGAGAAAGTTTTGTAAGGAAGCTGCGAGAACTCTCTCCAGATTTTAATGACTTCCAAAAATGCTCCAAGGAGCAATTGCTGATCAGAGATCTCCAGCCGGAGTGGCTTTTCCTGCCTTGACAAGTCCTTTGTTCACCCACCTCCTCGGCCTGCTTGGAGGGTGGGTGGGGATTGCGTTTCCTGTGGGAAGGGGCAGGCTGATGCTTTCCTGCAAGGCTGAGAAACTTGGCAAAAACATCATTAAAAGAAAAAAATAAAAGAGAGCAAAATTTCTGGATGGAGAAAACTGCTGAGGTTCTGACTTGCCCCAAATGAAAGGAACTGTGACTTGGTTTTGCATTTGTGTGCGTTTATTTTGGAATACAGAATGTTGTTGTTGTTGTTGTTTTTTAAAAAAACAGCAAACAGAAGCCCAGAAAAAAGGGATCTCTGACGCGCTGTACAAGATCAAACTTTCATTTTTATTTAAGTCGTATCACTTTTTTTTCTCCTTCCTGCTCAACCGTGTCTGATTCTCAGACACTCCCTGGACGGGTCCATGCAGATTTCCTGGCAAGATTTTTCGGAAATGGTTTGCCGTTGCTTCATTCCCAGGCCTGAGAAAAAGCGACCGGCTCAAGTCACCCCACTGGCTTTGTGCCTAAGGTAGGATCTAAAACTCACAGTCTTTCAGTTTCTAACCAAGTGCCTTAACCACTACACCAAATTGGCTCTCCATTAACACATTACGCAATCCCATTATTAACATCTAAATCAGTTTAATTTAACTGTATCTGTCCCTTCCCCCAGGCAGAAATTAGATATAAACATTGGAACATGCAATTTAAAATTTTCAACTGCCCCCAAAACAGGAGTCTTGTCAGTAAAACGTAAAACAAAACAAAAAAATTACGGGAAGATGGGAGCGTTGTGTTAACACACCCAACAAGACAAATCAGTGGAGCCAGGTTGGTTCCCAGGAAGAACTATAAAACAGAAGATAAACTGCAAAAACAGATCATCACCGGGGGTTACCTGAAAGTCTCACAATCACTCACACACTCTTCTACAACACATTCTGGAGGCATTTTCTTAGCCATTAGGTGAGGGACTCAACTACCCAACCTGAAACACATTCTCACAAGCACCAGAAACAACAGAACAAAGATGCTAATGTGGGAACTAGGCCCGTAACAAACCCAGATTTCCATTTTGCCCTTACATTTACAACTGCTGCACCCTTACAGAATTAGTGGTGCCTGTATGTGTCCTTCCTCCTTAATAATAATAATAATAATAATAAAGTTGGAAGGGACCTTGGAAGTCATCTAGTCCAACCCCCTGCTCAGGCAGGAAACCCTATACCATTTCGGACAAATGGCTGTCCAGTCTCTTCTTAAAAACTTCTAGCGTTGGAGCATTCACCGCTTCTGGAGGCAGGTTGTTCCACTGGTAAATAAATGAAATAAAAATAAAAATAATAAAAATGAAATGAAATGAAATAAATAATAAAAGAATTAATAAAATTAAATAAAATTAAAATAATAAAATAAAATTAAAATAATAAAATAAAATTAAATTAAAATAATAAGATAAAATAAAATACCAGAAATCAAGAAGTATACACACTATTAATCCAAAGGAGTCTGGTAGCCCCTTTTTTGCAAGTAATCAGTTTTGAAGGCAGAAGCTTTGGCGAACCATGGCTAATTTCATCAGATGCACGGCATTGTTAAATTAAAATGTAGGATTTGAAAAGGGGATCAAGCAGCAGAAGAGAAAACACAGCTATGCAGACACAGATTATGTGCGAGACAGATTACACTCAATTCAACCATTAGCACCTTTCACGTGTTAACAATTCCTGCTGGTTGTTAAAGCGTTGTGAGATATCCTAAGACCTTTTGATGTATGTGAGTTTCGCGAACTGCAAGGCTGTCAGGCCATCACAGTTTCCTTCTTTTAAAAAAAACGGCAACGTCGGAATCTGTAACTGGATGTCCCGTGAACTTAAAATGGAATTAAAATCCTCTGAGGTTACTCTGTCTTTATTTTGAGCCTTGATATTGAATTTGCTTCTTTCCTACTATTATCGGAGAGCCGAACCAAAGGAAGATCTTTTTGATAGAAGGGCTCAAAAGAGTAGCAGGACTTTTGATTTTATGGTGAATATCTGGAAGAACGAATTTTGCTTCAGTTAGCTTTAGGTAATCTTCCCTCCAAGACCCCTAATAATCTGACATTATGTTTTTCTCACTTATGGATGCTACAGGTTTAACTTGATGTGGAGTCTGTCCATAGCCATAGGGACCCACTGCTAAAAACTTCCATAAACTCCATGTATTTCACCCCATCTGCCAGGTTCGTAAACCAGGGATAAACCATTACAGGTAGTTCTCAGCTTACCACAGTTCATTTAGCGACCGTTCAAAGTTACAACGGCACTGAAAAAAGTGAGTTACGACCATTTTTCACACTTACGACCGTTGCAACATCCCCACGGTCACGTGATCAAAATTTGGCAACACTTGGCAACTGACTNATTTCACCCCATCTGCCAGGTTCGTAAACCAGGGATAAACCATTACAGGTAGTTCTCAGCTTACCACAGTTCATTTAGCGACCGTTCAAAGTTACAACGGCACTGAAAAAAGTGAGTTACGACCATTTTTCACACTTACGACCGTTGCAACATCCCCACGGTCACGTGATCAAAATTTGGCAACACTTGGCAACTGACTCACATTTATGACAGTCGCAGCGTCCCGGGGTCACGTGATTCCCCCTTTGGCAACCTTCTGACAAGCCAAGTCCATGGGGAAGCCGAGTCCCTTAACAACCTTGATGCTAACTTAACAAGGATTCACTTAACAACTGCGGCAGGAAAAGTCGTAAAATGGGGCAAAATTCACTTAACAACTACCTTGCTCAGCAGCAGAAATTTTGGGCTCAATTGCGGACGTAAGTCAAGGACTACCTGTATTCTTTGAGTCTGTAAACATGTTAAGCCCTTATTGAGCACTAAAATGAAGAACTGAGGCATATTTATTTATTTGTTTGTTTATTTATTTATTTGAGATAATTTATATGGCCGCCCACTCAGAGACTCTGGGAGGCTTATCAAAATTGATTAATTTATTGGTTATTATTGGCCAGGAACCCAACAGATCCAGCCACGAAGACTCCCTATTTAAATGGGGGCAGTGTCCATTATATTGCACAATTTTGCCTGCTGTTGCTTGCTTCGCTTCACCCGGGATCTGTAGCAATAGCTTTTCTTGGCTACGGTTCTTTTAAGGAGAACATAAAGCATCTGGCAGACAAATCATTCTTTGTTTCTCAGATAGAAAAATTCAGCTTTTATAGTCTTCGTTGCCAAGGGCAAGGATCCCTTGGTGATTTGCCCAGAGACAATAGGAAAACGCCTGGGAATCTGGATGCGGGCTTTCCCAGAGTAAATATTTCCAGAGAAAAATTTCCTCTGACTAACACGTTTCCCTGAAGAAATTTTCAGTAGTAAATAAGTGTCGCTCCCGGATCTCGGTTATACACCATTCTTGCTAAAACCTTTGGGGAAAACAGGATTCACAGCATTTTTGGCTGGACTGTGACTGAGCCGGGGTTAATCTGGCATAGCAGCTACAAAATACTGAAAATGAAGACGTAGAGTACGGCTGTATTTGGACTG